ATGAGCCAGTTAATAAATTAAGGTCCTAGCAAGGAAGATATCCCCTGATCACTGACCAAGCGTTCCCCTAGGAGAATCCCCTCACTCCCAACTTTTCCAAACATAAAAGATTCAAGTTGTCAAGGCAAACCTTAATTGGGATACGAATCAGTGACAAGTGGGACACTACAAGTAGGGGAGCAAAGGGTGTGTCCAGAACCCTCAATAGGCTGTTTAGAATGATGGGTGTGGGCTTTCCTTGCTGGGAGCTCCATTACTGCCAGTGGCGATGAGCCCTAGGAGGGCAGGGGGACAAAGGGGAACACGCGGTGCCTGTGTTTTGTTGTCCTGTCCACAACTACAGGAATGCCTATGTGAGGGTGCAGAGAGGAAAGGCAGAAATCAAACATGTGTCCTTTATTCCACCGAGTCGGCATATCCAGGAGCCGACGCTGAGTCGTCTCACCAGGGTGCTGGGAAGGTTCCCTGGGCCCAGGCATTTTACTACCTGGGCTCTGCTCTCCAGACAGATGGTAGGGTGGGCAGTGGAGAGGAGCTGAACCTCGAGGCAGAACCCCCTCAGCACTGAAGGGGAATGCAGAGTGAGGAAGTAGAATCATGGAGGGGGCAGGGAGGGGCGTCGGAGGACCGAAGTTGGGTGTTTTGAGGTGAGAGCTTTTCCTGCCCAGCCCTGCAGGTCCCCTGACAGCGACACCCAGGCTGTGGGTAGAGGTGAAGGTGCTGTTGCCCATGCCCACTGTGCTGTTGCTGCATTCTTCTGGGAATCCCTTTCCTTTTCCTGATGTGCTTAGTCTGGGAGCAAGAATCATTCGTCAGAGGAATGCAGGAGCCACTCGCTGGAGTCCCACCGTTTTGGAGAAGAGCTGTTTGGAGCTTCAGGAATGAGGTGGAAGGAAGTGGAGGACAGAAGACAAGAGGCGGCTAGAGAGGCTACCAGCCCAAGGACTGGGGCCGGGAGCTAAGTGCAATTGGGCCAGGAACGTGTTCATTGGAATCATGGGTAGGAGACTGAGATACCCCTGGGCTCAGTCACCACCAAAGACAGAACTGGGGCAGAGGCAACTGGCCACTTGCCTATGAGACAGAACTCAGGCACCAAGTAAAAAAAGTCCCCACACAGAACTGCCCCTCTCTGCCCCCCGGCAGTCTCAGATGACCTGCTCCAGACAGACCCCAGCGGCCAAGGAGGCAGGGCTATTGCTGGGATATCATGGCAAGTGCCCAGTCCAAGAAAGCCACTGTGATGTCCTGTAGACAGAGCCAGGTCCAGTGGGCAGCCTCACTGAACTGTGTCTTCACGCAGCTCCAGGTCACCTCACCTCTGGCAGGAAAGCAGAACATTTATGGGGGTTGCGAAGTAGTGGTGTGCAGCTGTGTCAAGTCACAAAGCTGCACACTCAGCCCACAACTGCATACTAGAGTGGCCAAGGGATGCGCAAGGGGCAGGGCGGGGTGAGACACTGGACAGAGGAGACTTGTCCCTGGAGAGAGGGCATGGGGACACTGGGGCCCTGGCTGAGGGTCTTACCTGCACGCCTCGTGGCAGTGCTCCTGGGCCTGGGCCAGGGCCTCAAGCAGCATGTGCCACAGTGGCAGCAGCACTTTCTGGTAGAGAAGCAGGAACAGCTCCCCCAGAGAATGGAGCAGCTGGTTCAGGGAATCAGGGAGCTGGAGCTGGAGCAGGACCATGAAGAACAGACGGGGTTAGAGTGCCTGGGAACGCACCCTGACCCTGAGGACCCAGTCCACGCGGGGCTGCACCTTCCCAGGAACTCAGCCCTAGGGGAGACCAGCCTTTTTCTGAACTCCCTGTCTCTGGCTTACCCTCTGGGAGAGACTGAGGAGGCTGTCACGGACACAAGCAAGGTGGGAGGCACAGTGGGCAGAAAGGAAGCTGACTGCGGCATTGATGTGGGCCCAGGCCAGCTGCAAGCTAGGCCTCAGCACGGTCAGCAGGTGGGAGCCCCAGGCCGGCAATGTCTCCCCTAGCCAGCTGTAGGAGACGCAGGGAGAGAGGAAGTCTGAGTTTCCTCAAGCAGCTGGACTCCCGAAGAATAGCTGGGGGGAGGCCTTAGGAAAGGAAAACCACAATCACTTCCCACTGACTATCAATGTTGTCACACCCTGAACATCCAAGCCCTCTCTCTGCCCTCTCCCTCCTCCTCTTCCTGGGAGGCGCTTACCTGTAGCCTTGCAGGCTGTAGGAGTAGATCTTGGCACATGCTTGTTGGCCAGCAGGCAAGAAACCAGATGACTGAAGCAACCGGCCAGAAAGGGAGGCTGAGTAAAGGGGGCCTCTGGTGAGCTGGGAGGTGAGGGAGCAGGGACTGGGCGGACAGACACTACAGGCCCCAGAGCAGGCCCGCTGGGGGACGGGGCAGAACTTAGTGTGTTCACAGGGCTGCAGAGCACGCTTGGAGGGAGGGACACACGCCTGGGAAGCTGAGCCCACTTCTCCTGCTGGGCCAGGTGAGCAGGTATGGGGCAGCCAGGGGGAGCCCTGGACTTGGGCATCAAGAAGTCTCGGGTTTCGGGTCTACCATTCTACTTACCTGCTGTGATCTTAAACTAATTGATAAATATTTCCGAGCCTCACTTTTCTCAGGAGTTAAAAAGAAGGTAACACCTACTTGAGACCATGAACACGCAAGCATTTCTACACTGCAAAGAACTAGTCCAATCTGAAGTGGTCGTGTCACACGTCTTAAGTGTCTGCTCTGCAGTATTCAGGGCAAAGCTGTGTGACTGGGGACAGGAGAGCTACACCTAGCTCTATGCTCCACCCCCATTCTAGCTCCCTTGTCTGCCAGACCCTGCTTACCCTGGAAAGAGCTGTGTGACCGGAAGTCGTGGTACAGGAAACCTACGGCAAAGATCAGCATCAACAGCAGTAGCTGTGTCCAGGGCAGCCGGTAGCCCCAAGGCTGCTGCAACAGCCCCTAGAAGGACAGGGCACAGGAACAGTGGTCAGTCTAGAAGATGGGCTGGCCGTACCTCAAGCTAGGCCATCCACAGAGAGGGTCAAGCCCTCATATCGCCCCAGAGGCAGTGGGGGCTCCAGGAACAGGTGGGGCAGAAATGTGACACAGGCCCAACCCAGGGTGTGCCATGACAGAGATGCAGAACAGTGTGGGGGCCGGGGAGGGCTGGGTGCTGGCACCTTGCAGGCCTTGTCACAGTTGATGACATCTTGGTTGTTATAGCTGCCTTTCTTTAGCAGCTCCTGGTTGGTAAGCTTGAAGGATTGCATGGTTTCTTGCAAAGGCTTCCATGTCTATAGGATAAGAAATATCTGGATTGAGAACGTAAGATTTGGCCCATGAAGGAACGCTGAGCCTCTGTCCATTTTCCATGCCAAGTGTGCCAACAGAGTGCCTTCTCAGGGAAGGGGGGACAGCAGCTGAGGGGTACGAACCCAGAACCCAGGTGAGGCTCAGCCTGCCATGTCCTCCCAGCTCCTCACCTTCTTGGGAATCTGCTCCCAGGACTTGAGCAAATGCTCCAGCAGCAAGCTGTGGGGGAAGCACAACCCCTTCCAATCAGCGGGCATACTTGGCCCCTCCCACCCTCCACTAGACCTCACCTCCTTCAGGCTGAAAGACTCTCCACCCCCACACCCAGAGAAGAGCAGCTTCCTAGAGGCCACCCAGCAAAGTTTCCACTCAACTAGCGAGGCATGAGACCCAACAGTAGTGACAAATGTTCCCCTTCTGCTTCTGGGACAGAAACAGGTTGGGGGAAGCATGAACTAAGGTTTCTCTGTGTGGATCAGAGGCAGGTGACCCTCCACCCCCACCTGCCTGGATTGTGACAAGTGCTTGGGGTACAGCTGCCTCCAGACGCTGGCACTGTGGGGGTCCACTGTCAGGCACTCTGTCAGGCTGCTCAGGAGCTGCACAGGAGACAGGAGAGGCAGACACCGCTGGGGCACGGGGCTGCTGGGGGGAGGGTGCTGAGAGAAATCCCCTTCTCCTAAGTTAGGCCACCCAGGCAACCCTAGAGGGTCGTGCCCAGACCCCAGAAATCTGTAAAGGGGGAGGCTGGGATTCCTGAGTTAGACCTGGAGCTCAAAGGTCACTCGTCTGCAAGGGGCAGGACATCAGACAACAGCCAGACCAGAATGTGCTGTCCTTGCAGCTTTGCTCTTTGGAGTGTAGAGCATGAGGGAGTGGAGCAGGAGACTGTCAGGAGTGAGCTAAGGGATGCGCAGGAAATGGGTCCATGAAAGTGGGGCCTTGGCCAGCAGACAGGGACCTCAGCAGCCGACCCCTGGAAGGGTAATAGGAGCCTTCTGCCATTTCCTCACCTCTTTCTTCATCTCAGAAGGGCAATTAGGGGTGGCTCTGGACAGGAAGGAGGGGAAGTAGGTATGCAGGGTGGATTCCGGCTTTGCCCCAAATGCCAGCACCTTCAGTCGGGGGTAGAGCTGACACAGCTGCTCCTGCAGGCTGGGGAGGGGATGGGGAGGAGAGCCAGGCATAGGCTCTAAATGGAGCTGTGCCCTGTGTCCCTTTGCCTGTCTCAGAGTCCACGCCTTGCCCAAAGAGGGGAGTCGCTACGGGCCTTGTAATGACTCTGAATCCTTTTGGACTCAGAGACTGCTTGGAAAATCTGTTGAAGGGCGTGGATCCTCTCCCCAGGAAAATGCCCATATGCCAGTCAAACTCGAGGGCCCATATAATTTCAAGGGGTTTACTGATCCCTTGAGCTTGCAGGTTGTTCTAGGATGGCTGAAGAAGGGCCAGGAACATATTGCCTGCTTCTAACCATACGGTGGGCTCCTTCACAGCAGGTGTGCCCCAAGGCAGCCCTACCTGGGTGTCAAGGAGTTGTTGGGCATATAGGCAAAGTCCAGAAGTGGGAAGAAGTCCTTGGGGCCAATCATGCCAAAGCCCTTGGTGAGGTTGGGGTGCATCCTGTGGGGGAAGAAAGAAACAAGTTTGTTGGGAAGCACCACCCAGGCCATGATCTCAGCTAAGACCGACATCTAGAAAAGGCATAAACTCCACCCTCCCCACCCCTTAACGCCTCCCTCCCTCCCTTCCTCACCATAACATTCTGATCCTAATTTTCCTCCCTCTATGGACACACATTTTGCTGAAACAGCCACTTGGAGACACCCTGGGCCCTCCCCTTGTCATCTCCCCACCACTCACAGGAGCAGACGATCCAGGTATGCAATGGCGAAGGGCGACAGGGACTTGATGCCCAGGACAGGCAGCATGATCCCCAACCACACTGTGGAGACAAAGGGCAGGGAGGAAGCCTCAGGCTCAGACCCGCGGGGGACATGAAAGAGGAGCTTCCTGGCTTTAAGACCATCCCTCTCTCTTCCCCACTGCCTGCTTACCTTTCAGTCCCTCGGTGAGGTTGGCAAAACCGGCTTGACCCAGGGCCCACATGATGGTCAGACACTTCGCTGGTCGGTTCTGGTGGGACCTCAGCAGTTCCAGGAACTGAGGAGACCAGTGGGGGAGGCAGGCTGGGACAGAGCAAAACACTAGGAGCACCCCCAAAGCCAGGCAGGAGGAGAGCTGTCAGCTGGGAGGGGCAGGCTGACGGACAGCGGAGCTCTTTGGCAGTGCGGTGCAGTGATTCAGAGCGGGGGCTCTGGCACCAGATGGTGGCCTTTACCCGTACTTGCCACTTACTAGTTGACTGACTCTAGGAAAGTGACTGAACCCTTCTGTGGTTCAATCTTCTCATCTATACATGAGAATAACAGCAGTAACTGCCTCATATACATATAAAGTAGTCACATAGTAAGCGCCAACAGTGTCAGCCATCATGACTGGTCTTCCAGGGTCCTCCATAAGCCCTTGACTGGGTCCAACAGTGTAGACTCTGCCCAGCCTCCCAGTCCTAGCCTCCTGGTGTCCCCACCACCACCCTGAACCTACCTTGCCCAGGTTCATGGTGGCAATCTTGGGCTTGTCTTGTAGAATGGCCTGGATACAGATACGGTAACCATGCAGCGACTCCCCTGGAGAGACACATGTTCTCAGACCCACACACAGGACTAGACATCCCAAACCTGCAATCTCCCCTTTGTCAGCTGAGCCCAGACCCCCAGCCCAGCGAGTCCTAACTTCCTCTTCCCTTTCCCAAAGAGTGTTGGGATGAACACGTTTCTAGAAACAGAACCACCCAGCCACTCTTAAAGCAGGAAAAAGGGAGTAGGCGCCCAAGACGGGGCTGGGCTATCGCACACGGGCCCCTCTCACCTGGCGTCTTATCCAGCTCTTGCAGCATGGTGAACAGACAGTGGTCAAAAAAGAGCTCCAGAGAACCCGCTGCCTTTGCCAGGAGCCCTCGGATGATCCCACGCAGCTCCCGGCTCACCAGGCTGTAGGGGTAATCTGGGGCGACAGGCCTGCACATGAGTGCTAGGAGCAGAAGCTCCCAGGGGACGGTGAGCGGAGGCAGAGGTCCCTGCACCATGACTGGCATCCTCCCCAGCCCAGTGAGGTCCAGAAGCTTCCACAGCCATGATGATTTGAGAACAGCTCAAATCACCCACATAAATCGAGACCGGGGGGGGGGGGGGGGGGGGGCGGCGGCACTGGGGTCTGTTACTAAGTAACGTGTGTACACACAGCCCTTTCAGAATTTTCTTGAACTTGTCTGAGCTTGAGGGAGTTGGGAAAACTAACCGTGAGTATGCTGGCTTAGGGTGGGTTCACTTAGAGGCGCCTGGAGCTTGTAGTTGAGATAGCTGGCCAGGTCCTTCAGCCACACGGATGGGTTCCCAGCGAACACACTCTGGCTCTTGTCCAGTTCTTTCTGCAGAGCTGCCACGTCCAACTGCCAGGGACACAGGCCCCTCATCGTCAGTTGTGGGGGAATTTTGAGTGTGGAAAAATGGAGTAGGGGTGGGAAAATGGTTGAACTAAGTGGTGGTAGGAAGAACAAAGGATTTCTGCTTTTAAACATAAGCATGTGGAATGCTACAAGTTTGCTGCATCCAGAGCTTTAGAAAGTACAGGACAGCTGGAATTGCTGATCTCTCTTAGGCCTTTCACATGTTCAAGGGGAAAAATAAAGGACAGGATGCAAAATGAGGGATTACTGCTTCCCTGGGGAGAGAAACAAGTAGTTTCTCTAACTCCTCCCTGGTATCCATGAAGGTTCAAGGCTCTCCTGTCACTAATCTGTTTCCCTATAAACTTATTTCCTTTTTACCCTAAGTGCAAACATTCCATCTCTTGGGGTTTCCATCCTTCCCTGAACGCCTCCTCTCAACCAAGTGTCCCAAATTCTACAGTTCTCTCAGCTGCGTCCCCCTCTGGCTCCTTTCACTTTCTCTCCGCTCCAAGTCCTCCTTCGTTCCCCGCCTAAAGTCTAGGCGCACTCACAGCTTTCAGCGCCTCCTCCAGGCTGCGGAACCGGCCCTGCTTCTGGTTTTGGTTGGTGAGGGTCGCCACCTTCTTAGTCTGCTTCTTGTTCCCTGGTTTCTTAGGCTCCACAGCAGGGGGTGGCACCTGCTCTTTATTCTGCTTCTTCATGATTCTCTCAAAGCCCAGCTCGTAAAGGGTGCTTGTTGTCTGGATTGGAGCTGGGGTGATGACAGGAAGAAAAAGGGGGGGCCATCCTTGGGTCATGAGGGCCTCACAGGAACAGGGGTCCCTTCCCCCACACTGTCCCCTAATTCATCTCCAGGGAGGAGCTGCCTCAAAGCCCCTCCTTGCTGTCCTGCTTAGGGAGCAGGCCAGGGGGCCCTCCTGGCTGCTTCTTTCAGTCATCACAGCTCTTGAATTCATACGCTCTTTCAGAGATGAGGCATTTATTAGGAAATCAGAGGATGTGGGAACTAGTGGAGGGATTGGAGACAGGGCTGGCTTCCTTGGAGAGGGGTTACTAGTCTGGGAGGTCAGAAGTTTTCATCTTGGTTCTACCCCAATTCCTCCTGGTTCAAATGTGACAACACCTTAATCGACAAGTGGCAAGAGTTCTCCACTCCTCCAGGAGACTGAGGAAACAGGTGCCACTTAGGACAAGACTTGGTGGGGGTCGAGAGTGTGAAGCGGGTCATTTCTCCCACCCCCAGGCCTCCTGTCCGTCCTCCCCTCCCCTCATCTGCTGGTTACTTAGAGAGGGGGCACCTTGTATGACGAACCAGAACGCCTCTTCCCTGCATGAGGACACCTGCCCAGAGAGGCCAGGCTAGGGCCCGGGAACAGCTGGTAGGGTTTGTGTGTGCAGTGAGCTGAGCATCCGAAGACCGGAATCCGAGTCCCTTCTGACACGTGATACTGGGCAAGGCATCTAACTTCACTAGGTCTCAGTTTACCCAACTGCGAGGCGATGACAGCAACCTCCCTCGCGCTGTCTACCTCTTGTGATGCTCAAAAGAGACAAGGCGAGGGTCGCGCTCGCTGAAGCGGGAGGAGCCGATCGGCAGGAGAGCTCTCGCCTCCAGGAGCCCGGGGGTGTTCTGACTCTTTGCGCTCCGGCAGCTATCCGTTACCACCCAAGAGGGGCAGGCCTGGGCCGGGCAGCGGCGCGTGCAGCGGGCCGGTGGGTACTCACGAGTCAGGTCGTATTTCCACACTCCGTTCGCCTCCCCGAGCGCCCGGCGGTCCCCTCCGCCGCCTCGCCCGCTGCCGCCGGCCCCAGGCCGCCGCCCCTTCTTCACCACCTCCCAGCGACCCCCACCCGCCGTCTTGGCCGCCATGGTTCCGACCCTCCCGCCAATGCCACCTCCCTGGACTTTCCGGTCCGGTACGGACGCACTGCGCTCTGCCACGTCTGCTCGCAGGGCCTCGTGCGCGTGACACCTCCCGCAAGGCAGCGTGGGACTTGTAGTCTTTCGTTTTTGCCTGGTTGTGCCTAGCGAGAGGTCACGTGGGGGAGTCCGGGGAGGGGGGGGGGCGCCCCCCCTTAGTAGCAAAAGACATCCAGGCAAAGGTGTTGGGATGGGGAGGCTATTACATTCAGCAAACTTTTATTGAGCATCTACTGTGTGAAGGCCACAGCATTGGGTGACTTTGTGGAAAGTTAACTGAAATTTTCTTTTCTTTCTAGTAGTGCTGGAAGGATGGAATGTAAATAGTTCTCACCTCCGGGAAGAGTTTGAAGATTAAATGCTTCCTTCCTTTAAGGAAAGTGCTTGTTTTACTGTTGCTCGTGATTAAACTTTGAGTTTTTTGTTTTTTTTTTTTAAATAAAGACTTTATTGGGGAATTGAGAGAGGGGAACAGACAAGCTGCCGTCCTTTTGTTCTTCAGTCTAGTTGTGGAGAACATCGCTTCACTGGCCCCTGTTGGTGTTATCATTGTGCTCCTCCTGGGTGAGGCAGTCGCTCATAGGTCATTGGACTGCCACTCACAGTGGCTCATAGCAGCTCACAAGAGCTCACGCCAGCTGCCAGCCAGCCCCACTGCAGCCTAGCCATCGCCTGCAACTCATGGCAGCCCAGCTCCAGGTTGAGCTGTTGTTCAGCATCTTAGCTGTGGAGGGCAGTGTCACTGGCCCTCATATGTGGGATCCGAACCGGGGCCCTCTGGCATCCCAAGCCAGTTCTCAACCATCGCGCCATTCGGCCGGCCCATGATCCACTTTTTTAGAAAGGTAAATGGGATATGTGAAGGAGGCGTTTGGGTGGGGGGAAAGCAGGAGGTGGGTGGTGATTTGCTGCCTCCTTCTGCCTGTCCTCCAGATGGAGAGCTTTTGCCAAGGACCACATTTGAGTTGGTCATGAATCAATTTAGTTTTTAGATCCTTGGTTTAGATCCTCAGAGTCCAACAACAATATCGCCTCTTTGCTTGACCCCTTCTGTGCCACATGTATGGTCACAGAAGAGACACTTTTGGGAAGAGAAACAGAATAGGTTTCCATAGAGGCAAAGGAGGGGGCTGCTGCACGGAGGAGGAATATAGAAGGGTGGGGAGGCTTTCTTTCCTATCTTTTCTTAGAATAGTCTGGCGGTCATCTGTAGTAAATTGGCACATAGGGGACAGAAGTCATTCACTTACTTACCCATCAGCATTCCCAAAGCACCATCTCTACCTAAGTACCCAGTGCTATGCTAGAGGAGCTGGAGGAAATACCTCACTTGCTTGTGAGGAACTCAAAGATGGTGTGGGAGACAAAGGTGTAAACAGAAAATGACAGTCCACCATCTGAAGTGTTCCATGGAAAAGCACCCTTAGTATGAGGTACTGGGAAGAGGTAGGGGAGGAGGCAATGGTTTTACATCCCTGAGCTTTGGGCGTTCAAAGGGCAGCCTTAGACACCAGCCATGGAGGTGGGCTTGGGCAGGTACCCACATCGGGTTTGAGAGGTGAATCAAAAGATGTTGGGTCAAGGGGGACAGGTGGGTGTCTAGTGTGGGGGCAAGAAGGGGGGTGAGTTCATTGAAGCACAGTTTTAGTTTTCTATTGCTGCTGTAATACCACTGTATTAGTTTTGTATTGCTGCTGTAACAAATTACCACAAACTTAGTGGCTTAAAACAACACAAACTATCTTACAATTCTGGAAGGTGGAAGTCTGACATGAGTCTCACTGGGCTAAAATAGGTGTCTGCAGGTCATGTTCCTTTCTGGAGGGTCTAGGGGAGAAACTGCTTCTTTGCCTTTTCCAGCATCGAGGCTGCTCACACTCCTGGGCTCATGGCCCCCTTCCATCTTCAAAGCCAGAAACAGCGGGTGGAGTCCTTCTCACATTGCATCACTCTGACCTCCTCTTTTGCACCGCCTTCCACTTTTATGAACTCTTGTGATTACATTGGGCATACCTGGATAACCCAAGATACTCTCCTTATTTTAAGGTCAACTGATTAGCAACTTAATTCTATCTGAAACCTTAATTCCCCTTTGCTATGTAACCTAACATATTCACTGGTTCCGGGAATTTTGATGTGGCCATCTCTGTGTGGAGGCATTATTCTGCCTCCCATGCCCACTTTACCAGCAGAGTGAGGTCTTGGCCTGTAGATGAACACTGGGCAACACAGAACAACTACCTTATCCTTTCATAGTATTTACCTGGAATGATGGCGAAAAAGCCTTTTAGAATAGGGCAAGGGGATTAAAAAAATCATAAAGATAAATAAAAGCAGGAAGGAACTTGGAGAAAAAGAGAGACAGAGTAAGGCCAGAGGTATATGTAGGTGGGGGTGGGTGTCAAAAGGAGGAGGTGAAGTGAATGAGGAATGGACAGGGATTGCTTATTTAAGGCTCCTGTCTGGAGTCATCAGAGAAACTGTCGTGGTCTGGAAGGAGGGTCATGGAGCAGGGTCACAGAGGAAACACAGCCCCAACTATCTTGGTCATAGTCAGGATGGCAAGGAAGCATCTACCAGGACTAGCCTGAAACTAGAGGAACATTGTGGAGGCGACACCTCTGTGGTCCTTGGGGGCGAGCACTCAATCATAAGTCAGTCAGTCTGAATTCTAGTCCAGGTTTGTACTGCCTTGAGCAAGTCATGTCACATGTGGGCCTTGGTCCCGTCATCAGTAAATGAGGGTGCTGGTCTACATGACTGCCGAGGCTCTGTAAATGGGCCTGGTAGCCACATTCATTTCAGTGTCTTCAGCTCCTGTTTGGCTTCCAAGACACTGGTTATTATGGCCCTTTGCTGGGGCACACACATCAGGAATGGAGAGCTGTGAGGGTGATGTGAATGGCTTCCTGACTCCCTGTTCCCATTAGAGCTTGTTCTACAGAAGGAACCACATGGCCACTGCTGTCCTTCTGGGCATCAGTGGTCAGAGCTGTAAGCTACTCAGCTCTCTGTCACGTGAGCCCTTGTCCCCAGCTGGACCACTGTTGGAAGGAGTGTGAGCTTTGTTTGACAAGGGATGGGGGACAACATGCAGTCTAACTGGCCCAAAGGAGACTGAAACAAAGCACCTCTTGGCCAGGCCACCCTGTTACTCCCCAACTGCTTTACTGGGCTGTCCACCGTCACAGCCATGGCCTCAAACTTTGTTCCTCCTGAGGGATTCTGGGTCAGGCCTCCATACCTTCCCTTAGAACCCTGGCACCAGTGTTGCAAGATGGGACTGGTTCAGAGCTGGGCTCTGAGGCCAAGTGCCAGTGGTGGTGTCGAGGCATGGGAGAAGGTGGCAGTGGTGCTGTGCTCCATGGCCACCACCTCTTGGAAGGAGGAAAGCCCCGAGACACAGGCTGTGGCTCAGTTAGGGAGAGATGGCATGGACTTTTACCACACAAGTTTATTTAAATAAAAGTGAACAGTACGTAGGCTGGGTGGCCTGAGGGGGCGGAGGTTGAGGAGGTGGGTGGATGGGAGGCAGACGTACAGGAGGGTGTAGGCAGTCTGTGTGGTATGAACTGAGCTGCAGAGGGAGTGGCTAGGGGCCTCGGGGCAGTGCTGGGCTTCGGGGCTGGGGACTGGGGGCAGAGGGTGGGGGCCAAGCCTGGTGCCAGGAGGTCGTTTTCGTCCCTTACATGCTCCCCTCCCTCTCCCTGGCCACCGGGACCTAAGGCACCCCCCTCCTCAGTCCCCCTACCCCTCTCCTGACATCAGCCTTCCCCTCAACTACTGGGAAGTCAAAGGACAAAATAAATAAGAATCGGTGAGTCCTGCCATGGCCCCAGCAATGGGGAAGGGAAGCCAAGCCAGGCACACTGCCCTGGGGCCCGAGCTGTCAGCCCTGGGAAAAGAACAGGTAAAGTGCAAGGAAAATCCAGTAAGTAAAAATATACCAATGACTTTGTCAAATATACAGCTGCTGGCTGTCAGGGGAGCAGGCGGCTGGCTGGGGAGGGTGGCAGCAGCACCCTGGGAAGTGTTGGCCGACACAGCATAGACAACGGAAATAAATAAGGGTGGGGAGTGGGCAGGGGTCCCGCCCACTGGGCCAGTGCCATAGGAGGACGGGGGGCCTCTGTCTGCCCACCTGCCCCATCCCCTCAAGCCCCCCTTGCCTGACTCCCCAGTGCTGCGGCACTGACACAAAGCACCCGGCCGACTGACTGTAAGGAAAGGATTATAATGTGGGGGTGGGGAGTAGGGTGGGGAGGCGTGCAGTCAGCCAGGGCTGGGGCCGCCTCAGTACTCGTCCTGGTCTTCTTGTTGGTGTTCCTCAATCTCGTCGTCTTCCGGGGGTGCAAATCCTTCCTGGAGGGTGAAAAGCGAGAAGGAAGTGGTGAGCAGGGCAGGCCAGGCTGAGGGTGTGGACATGTACGAGTGGCTTGGGGCTCGTGACCTCAGGTCGCTCTCCTCATCAGCCCATGTTCTTCAAGGCCCCTTCTGGTCCTACCCCTTCCTGTCTCAGGGCCGCGCGGAATGGGGGAGGGCCCAGCAGGCCTGGGACGTTGGCGGGCGAAGGCAGAGCTTACCTCAGTGGCATAGAGAATGCCAATGATGCCCGAGATGACAGGGCTGTTCTCACTCTCGTGTTCCTGGCAGATGAGCTCGATGTCTCGGAGTTTGCTGAAGTAGAAGTCGCGCTCCTTCTCCAGCCCGTCCACGGTCAGCTTCAAATCCAACAGCTGCTCGGGGAGAAGGCGGTGTTCGAGCCAGAGATCCGTGACTCACACTCTCCTTCCCACCCCGATGGCCCCGTTGTGGCAGAGTTATCTTGGCGACCCTCGCCCACCCCGCTCACCTGCTGGTTGAGTTCCAGAATTTGGGCATCAGTCTCATGGCCGCCATTTCGGGCTGATGGCGGATTCTTCCGGAGAATGCAGGGTGGGGCCACATTGCTCAGTCGGCCAGAGGTCTGCATATTTTTGGGGCCTGTAGGGGACGTCCTC